ATCATCATCATCATCATCATCATCATCATCATCATCATCATCATCATCATCATCATCATCATCATCATCATCATCAATTAATACAAAATCACTCAATAAATAATTTCATTGATAGAATTTCTAAAACAGAGCAAGATGAGTTAGAATTATTATTTGCTAAATCAATATATCAGTGTGGTTTGTTTCTTTCGTTGTCTGAATCAGCACCAATAAAAACTTTGTGGCAAAAAGCTCGTCCTGCATTCAAATTGCCGGAAGAAAAAAACTTTCAAATGAATTGCTTGATCAAGTTTTTATTGAAACAAAAGAAGAAGTTGACAAGTTAATTGAAAGTGCTGAATATATAAGTTGATTTCTGATGGTTGGTATGTAGTTAACATTTTTATATATGCATTCATATATTCTTTTTTTTTCAAATATATATGATTAATTAATTAAATTAATTATAGGACAAGCATCACTCAAGAGCATTGGACAAATTATATCTTAACTACTCCAAAACCTGTTTTTTTAAAAGCCAATACTACTGATGAAGTTCGTCAAACAGCTGAAAATATTGCTGCAGACATAGAAGATATTATCAAAACTTTAGATATTAACAAACTTTCAGCTGTGGTGACTGATAATGCTAGTGTAATGAAAAAAGCATGGGGTATATTAAGTAAAAATTATCCTGGTGTGTTTTTTTTGGGATGCATCTCTCATAATTTAAATCTTTTGATCAATGATATTGTTAAAATATCATGGGTGGATATAGTTGTAAAAGATTCTAAGAAAGTTGTTAAATATTTTAAGGCACATTTAATTCCATCAGCAGTATTTAAGAGACATCAAAAGGCAAATTATCAATATCCAACATCTCTCAAGTTACCTGTAAAAACACGTTGGGGTCCTCTGTTATGTGTTTACAATCAGTTATTAAAAATAAATTAGCTTTAGAACTTACAATTACAGAATTATCATTTGATTCTTCATTTGATTTAGATAGTGAAGTAAAATTAATTATACAAAGTCAGCAATATTGGAACAATATAGTTTCAACTCTTATTATTTTAAATAAATTATTTGATGGAATAAAATTTTATGAAAGTGATCAACTAAACTTGGCATATTTTTACGATTGGTATCAAAATCTTTTTAATTCAGATGGTAATATTTTAATTTATTTAAATATGTTCAATTTTTTATCATAGGTAATAATCTTATTAATAACTTTTTTGATAGATAATTTAAATTATGAAATTCAAGAAATAATTGAAAAATGATGGGAAAAAATATACAATCCTATAATGATGGTAGCTTATTTTCTTAACCCTAAGTTTAAAAATCATGTATTACCAGAAAATTGCATGAATGTAATTTCCGATTTCATCAAAAAATATTATTATAATGATTCTTCAAAAATTTGGGGCCAATTATTACAATACAAGGCACATTCAGGTCCATTTAATAATTCATTGGCATGGAAGACAGTAGATGACATAGATATAATCACATGGTGGAAAGGTAATTTCTCTTCAGCAGCTCCTGAACTAGTAAAATTTGCTGTTCATATAATTTCAGTTCCTACTTCATCAGCTGCTTCGGAAAGGAATTGGTCCACCTTTTCTTTTATACATGACAAGAAAAGAAATAAATTGACATCTGAATGTGTTTTTAAACTGGTATATATTTATTTCAATCATAAATTAAAATGTCCAAAAAATGATAACAATGATAATATAGATCTTACAATCATTGATGATGATGCAAATGTGGGAGGTGAAAGTGATAAAAGTGATGATGATGATGAAAGTGAAGGTGTTGATGAAGATGAAACAATTAGAATAGAAGATGCTATCAAATTCATATCTTGAGAAAATTTTGGACCGAATAATAATTGTAGAACAGAAACTGGTACAGAACTACATTTCTTTAAATGCAGTTCACACCTTCCAACTGCATGATTTAATTCATAGTCACAATACTTGCACCAGGTTCTATTTTGTTTAAAACCATCAGTTCTACCCAATTTGACAAAATGAAGCCAAATTTTTGATTTTGACATTTCAATGAATAAAATTAATTTATACTATTTTTTTTTTGAAAATTTGTTCAATTATAATTGGATAGAATTGTCTATGTGACATTGCATGATTTGAAAAAAAATCATGCACATTATGCGCATCATGCAATGCGCATTGCATTTTTTTTCATGCGCATGTCACATCTCTACCTGCACCATAATAATAATAATAATAAAAATATAGAAATCGTGGAACATACTTATACAGTTACTATAATAATAATAATAACATACCACAGAATACGATAATCAGTTTGATAATCAAGTAGTATTACAAACCCCCCATTACAACATCTGGTAAAGTAATCCATTAATTGTTAATAGGATTTACAGTGTAATATTTTATCACTACAGAAAATAATTGTTACTGATAGATCATACATTTGTACATACATACATACATATGTAAAATTTCCTCATATGGGTGTACAACCACAATGAAACTGTATGAACTCAATGGTACAAAGTCAGTTGTACATATGTACAAAGATTCTTCTCATACAGTGAAATTTCACAACCCTGTGCTAACCAACCTGTAATGCAATTTAAATTTTAGTATTAAGATAATCAAAATAAAAGATAGATTTACTTCAAGATTAACATCACTATTATTATTGTTCAACAAAAAGTTCATTAAAAGCTTGCCTCCTTTTCTAAACTAGTGCAGAGAATTTCCAAAAAATTTTCTAATGAAGAATTTAGTAAATTTGTTTCTTCTTTTTTATTTATAAAAAAAGCAGCAACCTTTTCACTCAGAGAACTTTCTATTATTTCTGCTATTAATTTCATTTTGTTTAATAATAGTGATGATGATCTAATGCAAGAGAAGTTGAAGTCTTAATTAGTAAGCTATAATGGCAAATTTAAGTTCAAGCATTTGAATTTATATAACTAGAGTGATGACGAGTGGTGATAACCACCACCATCCTTATGATAAACACTTACCTAGAAACTGCTTGTTGTATTTCTTCTGTATTTCTTTTATTTGTATTTACAAAGATTCTTCTCATACAGTGAAATTTCACAACCCTGTGCTAACCAACCTGTAATGCAATTTAAATTTTAGTATTAAGATAATCAAAATAAAAGATAGATTTACTTCAAGATTAACATCACTATTATTATTGTTCAACAAAAAGTTCATTAAAAGCTTGCCTCCTTTTCTAAACTAGTGCAGAGAATTTCCAAAAAATTTTCTAATGAAGAATTTAGTAAATTTGTTTCTTCTTTTTTATTTATAAAAAAAGCAGCAACCTTTTCACTCAGAGAACTTTCTATTATTTCTGCTATTAATTTCATTTTGTTTAATAATAGTGATGATGATCTAATGCAAGAGAAGTTGAAGTCTTAATTAGTAAGCTATAATGGCAAATTTAAGTTCAAGCATTTGAATTTATATAACTAGAGTGATGACGAGTGGTGATAACCACCACCATCCTTATGATAAACACTTACCTAGAAACTGCTTGTTGTATTTCTTCTGTATTTCTTTTATTTGTATTTCTTGATGACATTTTTAATAAATTTTTAATTTGAAAACAAATAACATGGTATTTTACTCCGGGTAAATCTTGAGCTCCCCCTCCAGCAATTAAGACTGAAGAATACTCTTGCAAATTGTGACCAAAGAAAATAAATGTGTACACATTAACAAGTATTTTAATTATTGTAAAATACAGATTGTATATTAAACTAGAGTGATGAGTGGTGTCAATAACCATCACCACCATTCTTACAATAAACAAAAAGAAATTATTTGATTGATCAACATAAACGCATACATTATTTATCAGTTGTGGGACATGTCACAAAATTTATTTCTACTGCAAAAACATAGTGAATTTTTCATAGTAAAATTTACTTTCAAACCCCAGTTTAGTGCCCTTGTTGTTTAGCAATCATCATCAAATTTGATATATAGTTTCTTTTTAGTATACATCTATTTTATGAAAATTTTTGAGGCAGGTTGTTAATAAAACTGTAGATAATCACTACCTTAAAGTTTTTTGTTTTGTTTCTGTGATCTCATGTGTAGAAAATTGTCATTTTTATTGATTGCAAACAAATAATTATTTTTTACAAGTAATTACAGAACCCAGTCACTTAGGTATGCTTTCTACTAGAATTTATTATATTATTACATATTAAGAATAAAATTTTGCTAGAGCTTATAAAGTAATGTAAAAATTATTCATTATTATACACACACACACATATATATATACACACATACACTACCTGGAAGAAAGTATCCGGACGCACCTTTTTGATAATTCCGCAAAATTTTGCATAGGATAAAAAAATTTTTTTACATCAATTTGTAGCCTAGGTTCTTACGATCATGTGTATAAATTTTAATGTTTCTAGCATCTACATAAAATTTTCAATTAAAAAAAACGAAATGTAATTAAAATCGTGATTTTCTTCTCAATTTTTTTACAATTATTAGAATTTTCTCAAAATATTGTGTACTAAAAATACATAAATTTTATATAAACTTGAAGCTTAGGTTCTCGAGAATATTCTTGTAATTTTTTACCATGTGTAAATAATTATTTAATAAAATATGATAAATTTGAAAAAATTAAAAAATTTTTTTTTCAAAGATCTAGATTGATAAAAAATTTTAAAATGCCAAAAAACGAAGAGCTGACTGATTTACAACGAGCCAGCATTTTGGGCCTCCATATGAGTAATAATAACCTTACTAAAATATCAAAGTTACTTAAAATTCCAAGAAGTACAGTACATGATACCATTACCCGTTACAGAAATGCTGAAAGTTTGAAAAGTGCACCAAGAAGTGGTCGGCCCAAAGCAATAAATGAAGATGACCAAAAATTTTTAAAAGAACTTGTACAAACATATAATCATAGAAGTGTGAATAAAATTAAAACAAATTTGCTGAGGCCACTGGTATTGAAGTTTCAACAAAAACGATTCACAAAAACTTTCACGAACTTGGAATTTTCTCTTGTATCACAGCTGTAAAACCATTATTAACAGAGAAACAAAGGAAAAGTTGACTGAAATGGTGTTTAGAAAGAAAAGCTTGGAAAGTTACAAAGTGGAAGACAGTAATATGGAGTGATAAATCAAGATTCAAGATTTTTAGGAATGATGGACCAAACCATGTCTGGCATACAGATGGTACACATTATAACGTTGAAAATATGGTTCCTTCTGTTAAGCATGGTGGTGGCGGAATAATGGTATGGGGATGTTTTTCTGGAAAGGGATTGGGACCATTGGTTAAAGTTGAAGGTAAAATGAATCGCCTTGAATATATAAAAATTTTAGAAAATGATTTACTACCAACAATTGGAAAACAATTTAATGGCAGGTGTTATTTATTTCAAGATGACAATGCACCTGCACATACTGCCAAAGATGTAAAAAATTGGATTATGCGAAAAAAAATTAAAGTACTACCAGATTGGCCTTCTCAATCACCAGACCTTAACCCAATTGAACATCTTTGGGCTGAACTTGAAAGGCAATTGAAAAAAAGAAATAGCCACCCTAAAAATCCAACAGAATTAGAGATTGCTTTGAAAGAGGAGTAGTCAAAAATTCCTTGAGAGAAATATCTTAATTTAATTGAAAGCATGCCAAGGAGAATTGAGGCATGCATTGCAAATAAAGGATGGGCTACAAAATATTGAATTTAATTTTTAATTTTTAAATAAATTTTTCGTCAAATTTTGTTGATCATCATTATTACAATTTTAATTGTATTTCGGTTTTTTTTAACTGAGAATTTTATATACACGCTAAAAACATTAAAATTTATATACATGATCGTAAGAACCTAGGCTAAAAATTGATGTAAAAAATTTTTTTTGTGCTATGTAAAATTTTGCGGAATTATCAAAAAGGTGTGTCCGGATACTTTCTTCAGGTAGTGTACATTATATGTTTCCATTTCCTGATAAAATGCACAATTTTCTACAAAATTATAGATTGGATCAAATGGATTGAATAATTGAAAAGAAACTTGCCATTTTCTTTGATCAATTTCATTGTTTCATATTTTATTATAAAACCAATAATATAAATATAAAAATAAAATCACATAACTATAATAACAATGTTATTTGTTTTAATTAAAAAAAACTTTTGAAGTCAAATGATGTGATTTTTAAATCAACAATAAATTGAAGATTTTAAAGTTCATTAAAGAAAGTTAAAAAGAGCAAATTGTGTTATTATTAATCTTATATTATTGTTGAAACTGATTTGTTTTATCATCATCAGTTATTAATCAATCATTTATATTTATTCTCTTGTTTGAAATCGGAGTATTATCATTTTTTGATATAGATCTTTTTTTTTTGAGATATTAGTATTTTGATTTTCTTGATCAGCTCCTTTATCATCGGATCACCAAATTTCACAGGCTTTCACTTGTTAATTATTGATATTATATTTGAAATTCTCATCTAAAAGGGCAATCTGTAAGTTTCAAAGATTGAAAAACCATTAGCTATAATAAATATAATAAAAGTATTCACCTTCATTGTCCATACAGCAGCAATCAACTCCAGTGCTTCTGTAAAATTTTGGAAAGAAACAGGAATACTGTATAACGAACTTTTTACAAGACAGGACTATCTAAAGTCATAAACATAAGTTGAAGACCCCCATGGATGTAGCCAACAGTTATGAGTTCCCTTCTTTCACTCATATCAGAAACATGACTGTTTAATAGCAAAAGCATGTCTTTTAGAACCTTAGGCAATTTTAAATCAGCTTCAGAGAGCCATTTTGTAGATTTCTTTCCTTCATAGTTCTTTTCTACCTCAGAACCACCATATTCTAAAGTAATAGAAGATTTGCCATAGCATGTCCTTATGATAGAATCAACTCAACTCCCTAATTTCTTTCTTGAAGAAAGATCACGATCATGATTTTTTTGAATTGAATTTGCAATACTGCATGATTCACCCCTAGTAATTTAATTGAAATTAAAGACTAGTGCCATAAATTATGATGGTAGTAATTGTATTTACGGCATATAAAAAGTGGTTGCAATTACCTTTACGACCACTTTTGCAACCATACTTTTTCCTTTTTTGGATTACAGCACTAGTCTTTAATTGAAATGGTTAAAATAAGACTGGAAAAGACAAATAAAAATATTGTATCACAATTTACCTCACTACATTTATATAATCAATATCATTATAACATTTGTCTACAATTGGTCCCCATATGTTAACATTATACCAATTTTCCAAATTTTCCATATAGAAAGGATTTGGATTCCTTTCATATTGTTGGATTCTGGATGTTCACAAGGATATTTAATTTAGTAAATGAATTCTATTTGAAATATTCTATAACTTTTGAAGTGATTACTTACAAACTATGTATGGAATATTTGATAGTATCATATTCGAAATCCTTCTTGATATTATATAAAGCTCCAAGACAATCTGTTGCCTTTTTCATTTCTTCTCTGACTTCTGCTATTGTAGTCTTAAGAAAGAATTAATTATATAGTTAGTTAATAACAGAAAGCAAATCATCATTTTTATATCAGTGATATACTTTATCAAATCTTCCAATATAATTTTTTAGCTCTTCAGGTAGTTGTGGATTGTAATGGTAATTGCATAATTAATTCATCCTTTGTAAAAAATTTCATCTAATTTAGAATCTTCTATGTCCAAAATAAATGAGTGAATCAGACTGTTTTAAAAGAACAAATATTTAGGGGTTATTTAGTATAATCCAATAATAATGGCAAAGAAACATACTGTTCTTTTTTAAATTCCAGTCTGGATTTAAAACAAACTTTTTCTACTATATAGGGTTTTTATAGGACCGGGAAAACTCTATTGAATGTGACTGCCAACACTATGATTCGATAGTACTTTAAAAAAAAAAAATGCAACCGCCTCACTATAGATTCGATTAATGGAAAATGGAAAAGGTCACCGCCTTTATATAATTCGAAGGAAAAAATGTCC